CGATTATTGAAGGAAGTTCGAAATTTTTAGAGGTGTTGAAACACAACTCTCACTGAAGTTAATATATGGAAGTAAAAATACGTAAAATTTCTGTGTCTAAATTTTTTCCAAACTTAACTTGTAACAAGAATTTATAACTCCTCTTCTCGTTTCCAGTAGGAAATTAGAGCATATTCTAAGTTCAAAAATGAGTAAAGACTACAGTAATATGATGTACCCAGACGCTTCAAAACAAGTTTGGTACCGGCACGACACAAAAACAAAAGGTTGCAAGTGAATGAGGGATAATCAATGTTACGTTTCATTAATTTGATAATATTGAGATCAAATGAGAGAATTATTATCGTCTTAACAATCAGATTCGCAGGATCTACTTTTACTAATTAACGTTCACAGCAGATGTCGAGTCTACCTCAAACAATATTATACAGACAGCAGAATTTACATTCAAAACTGCAGTTGATACTAATTCATATTAGCCTATATATGCCTACATAAGTCAGATTTAACAAGTAAAAAATACATATAGTCGTGTACTGAAGCTATATGAAGGCACATCTTGTAAACTGACGACAAGGAACGTTATAGCCGCTTCGGTGGTTTCACAACAACAGCAAACTGTGCTATTAGATACTGTTTTACCGTTTCACTTACTTTCAGGTGGTTTCGTGAAGGAAATTTCGAAGAACTCGCACAAAAGCCACAGTTTAAAATCACAGTCCAAGCACAATATCAAGAAGTAAAGGAAATATGGGAGAATGCTATCAGCTGGCACATGCATTTCGCGAATAAAAAAAGAAAAAGAAAATCTTTTCTATTGTGTACTCAACTTTTTCCAGAAGAGGATTGAAAAGATAAAAAAGAAAGAAACGAAAAATAAGTAAAAAGCGACCAATCCATCATGTGGACACTGGACATCTCATAGTGTAAGACGAGGTTTCCGATTGGCTACAGAGATCCACCCACCATTGAATCACGTGACGAAGAGAGAGAGAGAGAGAGAGAGAGACTTCCCCTTCCTGTATCACAATCGCAGGACCATTCTTTTCTCTCTCACACGTACCAGAACTTGCTGTCAAAGGTCTAACACAGTCCGACCAGCCAGACAGAGAAAACAGCTGCTCCCTGCAAGATGTCATTACAGTTCGCTTCAATTGCGTTGAAATGTGACGTGATAGCTCCAAATGTGAATTATGTGACTTAAAATAAGTGTGCAGGCGCGGGCATTGAAGTGGACTGCCTTGTCCAGTTCTTTTCAACAGCTTATAGTGAACGAAGTGCAGTGACTTGCAAGTGAGACGCCACGTAATCCATTCAAGGTAAAACATTAACAGTTACAAAGCGTGAATGAAATAACCTTGTTCCGAGACAAGTGCCCCATCAGGTAATGACAAAACATTAGTGTCCGCAAAACTTCAGTTCTAGTTAAAGTACTGACAGGCTCCAATTGCGAAGAAGTGACACGGACCTACTTTTAAACTTACATATGGTAGGAATATAGTGAAAGGACTATTTTCTTGCGACCCTGTGATATAAAACGGAGTCTTGTTCCTCTAATAACAGCTGTTAACTATTGGACTTCGTCCATGTTACACACACGAGGCCGAGCACTCAAAACAAATATTGATTCTTTTAATTAAGCGAACGGCGCGTGCTAAGAGACGGACAAGTGTTGGCATGCAATGGGACTGAAAACAGCGCAAAGGGTAAGAATAAATTATTCATAATCAACGCCACATACGCCTAAATTTTAGCACAGAAAATATTTGTCGAAGAACGTCACCAAACTCCGTTGGCCTACCACAAATTAATATAAATTTCCTTCAACGTACTGTTCCAAGTGAAATGAACACAGTATAGACAGAATTGTGTGATAGAGGCTGCGATTAAACACGCAATATTTCCGAGGTAACGCGGAAGCATCTTTGTAATAAAAGTTTACAGTTAATAAGAAAAACAAACGGAAACGAACTAAGTATTAAGTTCCGTTGAAATGTATTTAAATCAAAGAACATAAACGCAAACGAACAAAGTATTAAGTTGCGTTGAAATGTATTTAAATCAAAGAACATACGTGGATTGCGATATAAAAATAACACAGGTAAACGCTATATTTCTGCGCATCAATAACCAGATTTAATCTTTGTTTCTTGTTGCAAAAATGATGATGATGAACATTGGCATGTATGGGATGTGCAACACAACTGATTCCTTCAGTAGTTATCACCAAGTCGGGACGAATAATAATCATAATCACAACAATCACCACCTGCATCACGGAACTTCAGTTATTCATCACTACAACTCCTCATCTGACATGGCTCCTTCATATTCTTCAGCCTCAGCCACTACACCGCCAGAACATCACTTTCATCATCATCATCATCCGACATCTTACTACACTACCCAAGTGTCGGTCGATACATACAACCCATCACCGAATACGAGCAATCAAGGAATTCACAGCAACGAAACACGTAACAATGAACAAGGTACACCACCGCCCACAGACGAAAACACTGGTTCGGCATCTGCGTCTTATTACAACACCAACTCTGGTGCGCTACATCAACATCACGCACAAGACATGTCACTGGGTCCACCACAACAGCACGAAGAGAATGTTATCATCACCTCCGACAACGGACTGAGTTACACTAATCTGGATTATGCGACATCGAATACCCACGGAACATATCACCACCCACATAACCATAATACGATGACACCACCATCTCACCCTGGTGATCACCACGCAGTACTCTATCCTTCAACAACCATCAACTATGTCACCAAAAATTTGCAACACGAAGAAATGGTTCACCAAGGGAGTCACCATCACGACGAAATGCTACCACACCAAGTCAGTCATCACCATCAGCAAGAGGGGTACATTGTCAACGGAGGTCATTACATGCATCACTCTGCAACATCTCCAGACAGAAGCGAAGCTGCACAATATCCCCCTGTCGTGCCACAACACCATCAGAGTTCATCTCCAGTGTCTGCAGAGTACCAAGCAATTCATCGTCACTACAAGGAGGAGCCTTGTCACCAGATGTTATCAGAGATGCACCAACATCAAATACATTCCACAAGCCCGGCAGTTGGTGCGGGAAACAGTACTGTAATGATGGCAGCGGCTGGAGGAACAGGAAATTTTCATCACCATCCATTGCATCACCACATGCATCACCAGAATCCCAGTCACCATCAACACCATCACCACCATCTAGTGCAACAGCAGCAGCAGCAAACGACAGCGGTACCTACGTACAAGTGGATGCAAGTCAAGAGAAATGTCCCCAAACCAGCAGGTAGGGATTTAGGTTATGACTTTATATAAGACGTTTACATAATCTATTATAAAAATTTGTGATTTGTCGTAGTCGTCAACCTATTTGTTGTCAAAAATTAGTATCAGTTTACCTAGTTGGTGTTGGTACTTCAAATAGTTGATAACGTCTTCTTCCACTTTTCTTCATTTATTAAATAGTTCTGATGTTTTAGTTCTTTACGTCGCTGTTCGGAGGCGATGTGCTGCTTCTCGAGCAGTGATAGCATAAGTCTGCGTTGTTTCTCACTGATCTTGTCTTAAGCTGAACAGAACTTACACATAGATACGCATTATTAGATTCCAGTACTTTCCTATTACAACAAAACTCTTTTGCATTTACTTTTACATAAATACTTCTTGTCGACTGCTGAAGTAGTGTGTACGTACGTTTCTTATTTTGTGTCCTACATAATCGTAAAGAAAATCATAGAGTTGTTTCAATGCACTGTAGCACCCTCTTGCACAGTCACATCAAACCTTCGACTTTTAAATTAAATTGTATAACCAAGTACGCTGTGCAGGCACTAGAATATACAGAGAGAAATATGACAAGGGGGAGACTATGATAATTTAAACATAGCACAGTATCTCATTTCAGGAGGTAATATTAAAGTTTTTAGAGCAAGAACGCTTATTTCTAAGTAAAGAGCTCCAGAAGGAATTTCAGGTTTCTAAGTAGGATAATGAACATGGTTATGGACCAGTCACATCCGCATTCTATCCCCACAAATTCTTTTGGTCATATCCCTCTTTTGTTATTTCTAAGTCTCGCTGCTTCTCCAAGTGACTGGTTTTTATCACTCCATCCTGCCTAAATTCCTAGCACATAATAACCTCAATTTTACTCTTCTAATAACAATACCTCATAAACGAAGTCACGATGTTGCTCACTGCAGGCATAAATTAACATCCGCCATTAACAATTTAATTTATTCTTCCTACTTCCTGAACATATTATAATTTAGGCCTATATTCTTCCGTCTAAGAACGAGAACACGTTCCATAAAACGAGAAGCTTCTTGTTGAATTCGTTTTTTGCCGGGATAACTTGGTCAGTATTGGATGACTGGGATTCGATTCTCGGCAAGATCAGGGGCTTCTCTCTTCGTTTACGATTTTGTGGCACCTTCACCAACAACTTCATGATGCTTTTATCTTGTATTTAAGCTACACGAATCTCGCTTCTTTTCTTTTCTTTTCTTCTCTTTGTATGTCTAAATTCTGAAACATTTGAAAATCACCTGTTCCTCCAAGGTATATTACTGCATCTGTTGCAGATTTGATCAAGTAGCATGTTAATAACTTAGTTTAATACGTATTTAAATCGAGAGTAATTTATCTTCCAGACCGCAAAAAATATCTGTTATATTATTTGTATTCTTATATAAAGAAGCAACTTTTTGACGGATTCATTCGAGGGTGTTCGTGGCACTAAGATGCTTAAGGAATGGCGTTACTCCTATATTTTCCATCACGTTTAAAACGTGTTTAAGTATATTATATGCGTTGTTTATTTGTGTTTTATTTCTATTTAACAACAGTCAGATTATCAGACTATAGGCTTATGGCGTCAAATATTATGGTGATTAACAATGAACAGGATAGGATGTGGAATGATACTGTAGTGGCATAATTTAATATACTGTTTAGATATCAGTTTGGAGGGGAAGAGGAAGAACACGAAAGACTGTAAGGATAGCCGGTCTCCATGCCGAGATTTGAACCCGGGACATCCCGAATACGATGCAGGCTTTCTAACCATTCAGAGGCTACATTAGGTTTTTTTATAATACTTATAATTCACACATGACTAATTAAATACAGATTAACAAATCATATATTCAGTCTACATTGCTAGACATTGTGATACTCTAGGTCTCAACGACAGTTGGTTTCAAAATTATTACTATTATTATTATGTCGAATGTTAATCAAAGAGTTTGAAACACGTACAAATTTGTATGCTGTACATAGCACCAAACTTTGTGCTATGATATATGAACAAACTAAACAGGCCTGCACAGTTATAATTTTAATCTCATTTCGAATTTTAATATCGAGAAATTCAAAAGCAATATCAGACTCTGAAAATGACGATAATAAAAGGCCTATAGGCTCTATTATTAGACCGTTATTGAATACGTAACAAAATTAATTAATGTCTGGCATATCTGAAGTCCTATCAGACTTTATAGAAGATAGGCCTGTAGTTAAATCCTTTGCCATAGTGACAATCTAGCCACACGGCGTTAACAATTATTACAGATACAGAAAATTAAAAATTACACCTCAGTGTGCCCTACAATTTTAACTTGTATTCGTCTTATACTACAATATAATGTTCCACATGAGATGACAATGCTTCAGCATATTAAATATATATCGTATAAGATCTATCACTGAAAAAGAATCACCTCTACGATTTGAAACCCCTTAATACATTCCTCCTAAATTCCTTATTCTTATTTAAAAATATTTCACAATTATTTTGGAACTAACATGATAAGCTAATGTCTTAAACGTGAAATGTCTGCAACTGGAGAAATTATGTTTCGAGCTGCTGTTTAGGCCCTAACTAGTTCCAAGGAGCACATTCCTTGAGAAGGCGAGTCACTCAACTGGACACGTAATTCGCCGTCTCTTAATGAACACGATGGTTCATTACCATGTTGGAGAGAACCTGCCATTAACATCCTAACTTAAGCAGTTGCATTCAGCGAATAAACTTGTCACATAATTTATAATTTAATATCTATTTTAACATTCTATTCTACCGTACGCCTGGTCTTCTAACTGATCTTCCTTCAGTCTTTTCAAATTAAATGTATATAAAGCTCATCATTCCCATGCGTGCTACATGTCACTCCTATCTCATGTCCTTTGTTTAATTACGCTTACTTGATGAATACCGTTAATAATGAAGCTTCTTACTGTGTAATTTTCTCCATAATCTGTGTCTTTCTGTCTTATAAGTTTAGTCACTTACAACTTAGTAGGCCTATTGAATATCAGCAACAAGACATTTCTTAAAGGCCATCACTAATACAAATCTTTGAACTATTAAAATAGTTCAAAGACAATTATCTGCTGTTGGATTATTTCAATAATATCAAGCGGTTTCTTGTCAGGCCAACCTCAAAAACAAGATCATGTGGAATAAAGTCTACAACACGTATTCATCCTAATTATACATTTCAATTTACATTTTAAATGCTTCATTATCTTGGGAATCCTGTATTGGTGAGTGATCTTGGGACAGTGTTGAAACACATACTGCAGTCTATCTACTTTAATTTATAAAAATAATTACCTTAATGTATGTTGCATATTTGTAAGATCTGCCATCTTTAGAATCGTAATCTCCTATGCTGGTCAAAGTTCAAAGTCCCGCATTTTCAGAGTTAGAATGATCATTAGCAAGATGACCTAAGCGCCTTATGAGACAATCGCTCTACGAATTAACATTATTCTTTATTTCTCTGATGACGCAGTCTAGACTTACGAACGTAGCCTAAAGGAATGTTTCTGTTTTCAATGTGAAAGGTTTGGCGTTCACATCGGTAACCGCATGACAGATTACGAGCCGGTGGAACATGAAATACGTTTAATGAAAGGGTGGTAGTTATTTAATCTCGAATAAATTGTTGCTCCACCCCACAGATATCGTTGAACATCAACTCTTTGCAGTCCCATGCTGTAATGCCACACTGGGGCTTTGAAGCAGTCTTGTACCGGGGTTATGCATACGTCAAACTTTATTTTTAAAAGATTCAGTGAGTGATTGAATAACTCTTTCAAACCAGTAAGCCAGTATTCTAACAGTGGGGAGTGTGTTAATAAAAAAAAACCTGCAGCTATTACTCTATACACGATTTCCTAAGGACTCTATACTTGAATGTTTACCGGTCCATTAGCCGTGATTTATTCAATGCGAATACTACCTTTACTGAAGACATCATACACACGTAGCAGTAATGCCTGTATTTATGAGCTGTGTACTACTTTTACAACGTACTAGACATACCAGTTAATTAGTCTGTAATGTGAAGACTAAATTATCCAAGATTACAAAGTTAAATACGTGAGGAATTTCATCAGAATTTTAATAAATGGATCTATGAAGTATTTTAATTGTTCTATCGTAATTAAGTATGGTTTACTTAGCGATGTTTTTCTTTCAATCGCGCAAATTATATAGCATGGAATGACAGGGTAATTAATGAATGACTTGGAAAGGATATGGTAGGAACCGGTTGTTGCCGAATTTAAAGTAACGAAAAAATAAATAAAAAAAGTTCAGTAAGGGCAACAGGTCACCAGGACGATGCTTAAAGCCGGGAATTCCGGAATGCGGCAGCAGGGGTACCACCCGTTCGATCAAGACGCTTAGAACTTATTTAAAGTACATAACAAATATAAAGCATATCAGTTAACTGTGATTAAGCTACTCCGTATTAAAATCTGTTGCAGTTTTAGCCCATTTTCAAATGCAGTCTCTAAAACGCTGTTAAGTTAATTTACAATTATGAACCCGGGCTTCGACAGTGATTATTTTTACCGTATAGCCTGCATGTCTATTTACTCCCCTGTATTCATTAGTATTAGTTACTCAGTTCCCATTTGACGCACTGAAAATCACTAAGATTTCGAAGCGTCACCACTTCAATTCCGTTTCCTTTGCTAACAGGAGTATATAGATGGTAAATGCAATGAGCTTCTATTTGACGTACGTCCAAGTGAAAATTATCAAAGCCGATTTTAAGAATCATTAAGGAAAGAGAAAATAAGGCAGTCTGTTCCTCCTGATGACACAACCCGCATCTTAAAGTAACAGCAAGTCGACACACATTATCCTCACGTCTTTTATTATATTTCAGGCTTAGTTGATGACACTTCTGTCAGCTATTGAGGTTATACAGTAGCACATTTCAAATTTGTATAGCCTTAAAGAGATCAAGAATGAGGAAGAAGTAGGTACGA